TTTTTTAACTTAGGTTTTGGTAAAAAATCGGCGATTTTCCAAAATTTTTTTTTCAAAGGTCCACCATTTTGTTAATTTTAGAGCGAAGTCAATAATCCTAGTTCATACAAGAGCCAGACATGTACTTTTTCTAACACCGTTAGAATTTTCGTATTCCGATGTTCCAGTGAGGAGTTATCATGCCCGCCATCAAAAATAAGGGCTTTTCTTTAATTACAAAAAACAACAACAAAATTTTTTTGTAAATTATTTTTCTTCTATTTTAAATCTTCAATTATATATGTGTAAAGTTACAAACCTTAACAAGCATTGGTATTGATTTACCAGCCCTTTGAAAATCTTGAAAAATTAAAATCGAGAATGGGTGGGGTTCCCTTAATTCAGTGCGCTATGCCAAATTTTGTACAAATCGAAGATTATATAGGGACTTTGGTACACCATTTACATTAAATCGGACGAAAATATATGTTGGAGTCATATCTAAATGTGAACCGATTTTCACGAAACTTAACACACATCATTCTAGACCTAATTCATTACGCGGTGCCAAATTTCGTGCAAATCGAAAGATATATAGGGACATTGGTGCACCATTTACATCCAATCGGACGAAAATATATATGGGAGCTTTTTCTAAATCTGAACCGATTTTTCCGAATGTCAATAGGGCTCGTTATTGGGCAAAATAAGCGACCTGTGCCAAATTTCATCCCATTCGAATCATAAATGCGACCTGTACTTTGTTTACGATTTAACATGGATGGACAGACGGACGGACGGACATGCATTAATCGACTTAGAAAGTGATTCTATGCATATTCTCAAAAGGAACCATGTGTCTAATCGTTTCCTTTTGCCTGTTACAAGCACATCTCCTGTATAGAAGCATCTCCTGTATATACCCAAACTGCTAAGAGTATCATATGGTCAGCCAAACTGCGATAGGGCATCATATAATAAACTACGTCCGACTATGGGCCTTTCCTTGCTGTTTCGTAAAAAACATATCATTAAATTTTCCAAAAATTCAATTTAATACACTTTTTTTAAATGTTCCTTTAAAAGAACTCTTATTTGTATATTTTTAAATCGTAGAGAAACCCCAAATCTAACTCTTAAAAAATATTATAAATTGTAATCCTGCTATTTTGTCTACCCTTTTTTTATAAAATATTCAAGCTTGTTGAAAAGAATTCACTCCGTTTTAACAAAATTTCAGAATGAATGTCTTAATCTAATTTCCCAAATTGAAAAAGCATTTATACATACCCAGATATGTTTCATGTTTTGGCATGAACTCTTGCATTTCCGATAGTAACAGTGCGATATCCTGTGAATCCTTTGTAATACTACACAGCTCTTCTTGATTGAAATCCGGTGTTATTTGTTTGCAGAGTAATATTTGGCTAATGACATTGCCAAGATTCGAGGGACCAGCACGATTTTCTGAAAACAACGAAAGAAATGTAGATATGATATAGTTCCATTACAATGTCATTAATATATGTATATCTACAAATGTATATACATATGTAGAGCTACTAGTGCAATTAAGTAATAAAGCATGGAAATGACATACCCACTAAAAGCGGATAATGTCTTACATCAATTCAAATGATATTAAGGGAAAGGGACCTTTCAATGGTGTCGTATCCTAATGACTTTTTTATACACCATATTTGCAACTATGAAAATTTTAATTCGCTCTATTTCTAGAGCTTGAGGTTGGCTGAAGAAAATCAGGTGATTTGAAAAAATTCTAAAGATCAATAAACATTTTCTGACATTTGAAAAAAAGGTAGGAAAGTAGTAAAGTCGGACGGGACCGACTATATGCAACCATTCCCCACTTTGGGTATATTCTACACTCTACAGTACGTTGTGTCAATCGGCATAGCTATGGATCTTTTCACGAAGTTTAGCAACATCATTCTAGACTTAATTCAGTACGCTATGCCAAAATCCGTGCATATGAAAAGAGAGGTTTATCTAAATCTGAACCGATTTTCATGAAACTTAGCTCACATTATTATAGACGCAATTCAGTACGCTATGCCAAATTTCGTGCAAATCGAAAGATATATAGGGTCCTTGGTGCACCAATTACCTTAAATCGGATGCAAATATATATGGGAGCTATATCGAAATCTAAACCTATTTTCACAAAACTTATCACACATCGTTGTAGACTTAATTCAGTACACTATGCCAAATTTCGTGCAAATCGAAAGATATATAGGGACTTTGGTGCACCATTTACATTAAATCGGACGAAAATATATATGGGAGCTATATCTAAATCAGAACCGATATTCAAGAAATTTTACACACATCATTCTAGACTTAATTCAGTATGATATGACGAATTTCGTGCAAATCGAAAGATGTACAGAGACTTTGGTACACCATTTACCTTAAATCGGACGGGAGCTATATCTAAATCTGAACCGATTTTTCCCAATTTCAATAGAGTTCGTCCTTGGGCCAAATAAATGAGCTGTAGCAAATTTCATCCAATTCGGATCATAAATGCGACCTGTACTTTGTTTACAATTTAGCATGGACATACGGACGGACATGCATAAATCGACTCATATGTGATTCTATGCGTATTCTCAAAAGGAAAGGTCTATCTCGATTATTTTTGCCTGTTACAAACATATGCACAAAGACATAATACCCTGTACCACAGTGTGGTGAAGGGTATAAAAAAATCATTTTCAGGCATCGGTTATCATGGTACGCTAACGGCCGTCATTGACGGTTATGATCACTCTTGCGGCATGATTATGATTTCAGTCTTAAGGGTAACAAGGTGAAATATCTGAATATAGAGCACACCGCACCAATTTTTATGGAACCTTTCCAACCAAATGTCACCAATTTAAAGACCAATTAAAAGACTATAGAGTATCCGACTTGATCCATAGATTGCACATCATATTATTCAACCTAGACTAAATTCGAAGATGGAAATTATAGGGAAAATTCTTCAGGTACATCTCCTCAGATGGTCAACTCTTTTAAAAATCATATACATTAGATAAAGCGAATAGTGTTTCCTATGCACTGCAGACCTGAATATTTATACTGCTCGTAGATTTAGTTCGATTTTCATGAAATTTGGCATAGCTTTCTGCATTGAGTCTAGAATGATGTGTGATAATTTTCATGAAAAACCGGTCAGATCCCATAGATCCCACATATATTTTCGTCCGATTTTATATAAATTGTGCGATTTAAATAAATTTATCCCAATGTACGCAAACGACTCTCAATCTGCATGAATGAAATTAGACCCGTAATAAAATTTTTGTAAAATTATTTTACACCACTTTATAATAATATTATAAAGTGGTCTAATGATAGTCAATTCTGTTGAAAATGTGTTCGGCTTCCCCAAAAATTTTGTCTAAAGCCACCAAAATACAGAATAATGGGCTCTATGAGGGCTACAGCGACACATGGACCCCTATTGATTATTTTTGGTAGGGAGATTTTTTACCCAACGATAATCCAAAATATCAAATTAGAGACAATTTGATCGTAAAACGTTTTAATGGGACTTCCCCGGATCAATATTGATCATTTTTAGTAGAAGGATTTGTCTACTCAGGGAGAATCCAAAATAGCTTCAAAATATTGAACATTGGACGAAGGGTATATCCCAAGCACTTTAGCATTTCTACAGACGCACCAGGCTAAATATTTCTTTTAAACAAACATGGCTAAATATTTCTTTTAAACCAAAGTTTTGGCAACACTTGTATGTGTGCAATATTCTGTGCGAATTCTGTGTAATCTGGGGCTATTTACAGCAAAATTAATACTTTTAATCCGGTATGCGGTGGAGAATAGTGCGAAACAGTACATGAAAGCTATATCCAATTCTGAACTGGTTTGAACATAACTTAATAGACGTCTTTGCAATCGGACAAACATTGTTTGGTGCACCATTTATCAAATAGAACTGAAACGATTTCAATAAAACTCAACATAGGCTAAGTTGGGCTCAACGAAGGAACATCTCATGTTTTTCTGCAACCTATGATTAATTTAATTCCATTCAGGCAGATTTAAAGTCGTCTGCGTACCATGGGACAAATTTAAGGAAAATCATTTATAGCAAAATTGATACACGCTATTCGGCATGCCGCACTGTTAAAAATTTAATCTCAATCAGACACCGGTTCGAAATACATATGGAATCTATGGCTGCATCTGCACCAATTTCAAAAAAACCCATAACGTCATTCAATACAAACATTAGGAGTTTGGTGTTAAGTTGGGCTCAACGCTGTCGTTTCAAAGGAAGTTATATATAATTATGAGCAGATCTCAGCAGAACTGAGTACTCTTCATTTTAGACCCATTTTAATCTGAATCGATAGATAGTACATGCCACTTTAAGCTAGTGGTATGATATAACTCTTCGATGTGTCCTTAACAACATTTTGAAAGAAATTTGAAATTATCGCTATATAACAAACTAAATACTTTTGAACATAATTTCTTCGTTCCATAAAATTAATAATATTTTCACTTTTTATATAAAATTTTAATAACAATGAAAAATATGTTGAGGACACCGAGAGAGAAAGAGAAAAAACCAAAAATGATAAATGAAAATATTTGCTAAACTTTTGTAATATCCGTTGTGGTAGCTGTCGCATCAATATACATGCATACACATCAATATAGCTGTGGAACCATGTGAATGTTTTACTAAACCAAAAAAGTATAAAGCAACCATATATCAAATAAACACTCTATCATATCATGTGAATACCACCATTATCCTTTTACATATAGTACCCTCTAACATAAATATGTTTTAGAAACGACTGTGCACAATACATACATAGATTTCTATTGTCGTAGCATCTTCCCAGTCGTTTTTTATACCCTTCACCACACTGTGGTACAGGGTATTATGTATTTGTGCATATGTTTGTAAAAGGCTAAAATAAGCGAGATAGACCCATGGTTCCTTTTGAGAATATGCATAGAATCCGTCCGCCTGTCTGTCTGTCCATGTTAAATTGTAAACAAAGTACAGGTCGCATTTATGATCCGAATTGGATGAAATTTTGCACAGCTCATTTGTTCGGCTCAAGGACGAAACCCATTGAAATTGGGAAAAATCGGTTCAGATTTAGATATAGCTCCCATATACAGTTCCGTCCGATTTAATGTAAACGGCCCCTATATATCCTTCGATTTGCAAATTTGGCACAGCTTACTGATGTAGGTCTAAAATTATGTATTTTAAGTTTCCTGAAAATCGGTCCAGATTTAGATATAGCTCCCATATATATGTTCGTCCGATTTAATGTAAATGGTGTACCAAAGTCCCTATATATCTTTCGATTTGCATGAAATTTGGCATAAAGTACTGAGTTAGGCGCAGAGTGATGTGTGCCAAGTTTCGAGAAAATCGGTCCAAATTTAGATATAGCTCCCATATATATGTTCTTCCGATTTATGGAAAATGGTGTACCAAAGTTCCTATATATCTTTCGATTTGCACGAAATTTGGCACATCGTACTGAATTAGGTCAAGAATGATGTGTGCTAAGTTTCCTGAAAATCGGTCCAGTTTTAGATATAGCTTCCATATATATGTTCGTCAGATTTTATGTAAATGGTGTACTAAAGTCCCTATATATATTTCGATTTGCACGAAATTTGGCATAGCGTACTGTATAAAGTCAAGAATGACGTGTGTTAAGTTTCATGAACATCGGTCCAAATTTAGATATAGCTCCCATATATATATATATATATATATATATATATATTTCAGATTTAGATATAGCTCCCATATATATTTTTGTCCGATTTAATGTAAATTGTGCAGTAAATGTCCTATATACCTATTGATTTGCACGAAATTTGGCACAGCGTACTGAATCAGGTCAAGAAAAATGTGCGTTAAGTTTCCTGAAAATCGGTCCAGTTTTAGATATAGCTTCCGTATATATGTTCGTCCGATTTAAAGTAAATGGTGTACCAGTTTGGCATAGCGTACTGAATAAAGGCTAGAATGATGTGTGCTAAGTTTCGTGGTAATCTGTACCAATTTTGATATAGCTCCCATATTTAGTTTCCTTCGATTTAATGTAAATGGTACACCAAAGTCCCTATATGACTTTCGATTTGCACGAAATTTGGCATAGTGTACTAAATTAGGTCTAGTTTCCTGAAAATAGGTCAAGATTTAGATATAGCTTCCATATTAGATATAAATTCTGCACCATATTCCCCAGGTGGGTCCGATTTGCACACAATTTTGCACAACGCACGGAAGATAATATAACCTAGCATGTGGAATTTATTGTTGACAAATTCGATGAAATCGGTTTAGATTTCGATATAGTTTTTATATATTTTTTCGTCCGATTTTAAGTAAATGGTACACCAAACGCCTCACGTTTATCAGATATTTATTCAAATAATCAAATGGTGTACGATATTTGCTTTAAATTGATTTACATAATGTTATCCCATTGTAAGAAGCAACTTATATCTGTCCAAATGAACAATTTAGTATAGGTAGCAGAATGTCATGTTTATGGATGCAATTTCATTTTACTGATCCTTTAAAAATTATCCTTAAAATCCGCATCTGCAGCAATTTCAACAAAGCACAATAACATCATTCTATTCTCAATTTGATACGTTGTGCAAAATTTCATGTTAATTTAAATCAGAACCGATTTCAACGAAATTCGCTAGAGATTAAATTATTTTAACTTCAGTACGATTTGCAACATGTCGTGTCAATCGGCTTGGCTTTGGGTCTTTAGAGGACCATTTACTTAAAATCGGACGAATATATATATGAGAGCTTTATCTAAATCTGGACCGATATACGAGGGCAGTTCGGAAACTTCTTAGCCTAGCACAAAAAGCACGGTATAAACAAAAAAGTTAAGTTTTTGGAAACTTCTATCTCTGTTATGAACACATGTCAATTTTTTTTCGATCTGGCAACTCCTTCATATAAAAACAGGTGTTAAAAAAGACACATCCGCAATTTTTTTACAATAGAAAAAAATTGCAACCTTTTGGATCAATTAAATGTACAAATTTGAAAAAACGTCCTGGCTTACAACACAAAAAAAAAAAATAATTTTTCATCGAGACAACGCAACAGCGCACAAGAGTGTTTAACAATGGCTAAAATCAACGAATTAAAGTACGAGTTGCTTGACCACCCACCGTATTCTCCTGATTTAGCTCCCAGTTACTTTTAATTGTTTCCAAATCTTAAAAAAAATCCTTGCTGGCAAGTGTTTTACCTCAAATGAAGATGCAATTACAGTTGTAAACAACTATTTGGAATACCATGAGGAAAATATTTTAATCAAGGGATAGAAAAGCGTTGGGCTAAGTGTATTGAAGTTTCAGGAGATTATATTGAAAAATAAAAATATTTTTGAAAAACTAACTGCTCACTTTCATTGATAGGCTAAGACGTTTTCGAACCGCCCTCGTATATATAATTTATACTATTTTAGATCACCTTATGTATATACCCAAAGTGGTGTATAGTATCAGATAGTCGGAACCATCCGTTTCTGGCCCTTCCCTTCCTGATTGTTCTTTCCAAATCTACATTCCACATCTCTTTAAATAGATTTTTGTCTACACCTAAAACCAATATTTGTTATTTGTCCCTTGCAATAATATTTCTCTCAATCTCCACAAAATGTGGAAATATTTTTTTACTATTTATTCTTCTTTTATTCTTGTTAACAACTTGTGTGTTAATTAAATGGACACAACAGGGTGTAAACGAGAAATGCGTTAGGGTCGATGTGTACGCAACAGCAGCAGCGCTTTTCTCTGAGCAATGAACCAAAAAATTAAGAATAATGCATAAATTGCAGATGCGAACTTACCATAATATCCTGACATATCCATTGGCACCACTTGTATCAGACGATAGCTCTTCACTAATTCGCGTAAGAATAGTTGAGCCATATAAAATAACAGCACAAGATGTGGATTGTCTGTAAGAACGCCATCGGCAGTGGCACTGCAATGAGCAAAGCAAAAACGGCAACAACGACGACAGCAATGACGAAAACCGCCAGCAGATGAAATGCAATATCAGCAGCAACAACAGCAGTGGCAAGTTGTGGCAATAAAGAAATAAATAATATCAAACAGAAGAATGACAATGAAAAGTGGTTAGTTTTGAAGTGTTTTTTTCTGAAGATACACAAGATAAATAAAGGAATACAAATAATATATAATTATATTGGATTTTATATAAAAAATATTTCATTTTATTAATTTTTGTATGTACTTGAATAGCTATTTACAGCAATTTAATGATGACTAATTGTAGTTTATATACATATTTATGTCTGTATTCAAGTAACTACAAATTTGATTGTGTGTTTAATTTATAATAGATTAATTAAAATAATATAGAAAATTAGCATTTCTGGGAAGACTAAATTTGCAGATCAATAAATACAAATATAATTTAAATTTATGTTCACCTGACCTTTTTGCTGACATTTAGCAAGTTGAGTTTAGTCTCCCCTGAAGAGTAAAAATAGAAATAGTCGTTCCGTAACATTTAGATGGTAGGAGTACTGAGTAATGTTCTGTTGTTGATAACAGAATTCATAAATTTCTATGTCGTTATTGGGTATGTGGAATCGGAGTATTCATGGAGTTTACTAGTATTGGTGCCTGAGTTGGAATATCGATTCATGTTTAGGCATACACCCCTTGCAACGTAAACTATTTTCGGGATTTTTGGCTGAAAAGTTTTGGAATTTTTGGGTACCGCATGGGAACTTTGATTTCTCATGAGGTAGCGAATATTACTACCAAACATTAACAAAATGGTCCAAGTTATAAGCTTGTACTTTATTGCACTATTTTTATACCCTTCATCACACTTTGGTACAGGGTATTATGTTTTTGTGCATATGTTTGTAACAGGCAAAAGGAAACGAGATAGACACATGGTTCCTTTTGAGAATATGCTTAGCATCACATTCTATGTCGATTTATGCATGTCCGTCCGTCTGTCCATTGTGAACAAAGTACAGGTCGCATTTATGATCCGATTTCGATGAAATTTGGCACAGCTCATTTAGTTGGCCCAAGGACGAACCCTATTGAAATTGGGAAAAAATCGGTTCAGATTTAGATATAGCTCCCATATATATTCCTGCGATTTAATGTAAATGGTGCACCAAAGTCCCTTAATATCTTTCGATTTGCACGAAAGTTGGCACAGCGTAATAAATTATGTCTAGAATGATGTGTGTTAAGTTTCCTGGAAATCGGTTCAGATTTAGATATAGCTCCCATATATATTTTCGTCCGATTTAAGGTAAATGGTGTACCAAAATCCCTACATATCATTCGATTTGCACGAAATTTGGCATAGCGTACTGAATAAAGTCTAGAATGATGTGTGTTAAGTTTCGTGGAAATCGGTTTAGATTTAGATATAGCTCCCATATATATTTTCGTCCATTTATTTAAAAATTGTGCACCAAAGACTCAAAGTTAGATCGATTGACACAAAATTTTCCACAACGTACTTAAGATAGTTTGGTCAAACGTGTGTCAAATTTTGTTGGAATGCGTCCAGATTTAGATATAGCTCCCACATATAGTTTCGTTCGGTTTTAAGTAGGACCCAAAATATGTCCATTAGGAAGAAAACGTTCTGAAATTAGTCTAAGCTATCCTGTGACAAGGTTCGTTGATATCGGTTCATATTTGGATATAGCTGACATATCATCCGATTTAAATACATGGTGCACCAAACTCTTCATGTTTTTTTTAGAATAGAATATTCAACAGTGCCCCATTGATTTTTGCTTTAAATCGATTTACATAATTTTGCCAGACACAAGGACACGAGATCAACCCATGATTTCTTTGATAATATGCATATAATCTCTTTATGAGTCAATTTATCGCATTTATGATCAGAATTGAATTCAATATCATTCAATTCTGATCATATTACTTATTTGGACCCATGTTACTTATTTGGACCCAGAAAGAAACTCTATTGAAATTGATGCAAATCGGTTCAGATTTAGATATAGCTCCTACATATATTTTCGTCAGATTTTATGTAAATGGTGCACCAAATCACAGATTGACCAATGTGAAGTTTTTTTCGAAATCGGTTCAGATTTCGATATGCCTTCAATATATATTTTCGTCCGATTTTATGTGCACTAAACTCCCAAGGTTTTTCCGACAGAGGCAAAAATTTGCAAATTAAGTATGTGCAGTTATTCTGAAAATTTTCAGCCGATT